CCAGCTCCTGAGAGAAGGTCCCTGCTGACTCCTCTCCCGCAGGTGTGGTGCTCCCCTGTTGGGTAGAGGGGTCTGGCATCAGAGGAAAAGAGGAGGAGACAATCACTGTCTGTATGCACCCCTGCTTTCCCCGAGGGCATGCCGTGGCTCTAAGGGGCTGTCCTTTGGGCAGCGGCCTGTAAGCCTCACAGGGGCCCCACGGTGACAATGGGGCTAGCTAACCCCCCACACTGACAACCTGTCCATGTGTAGTGATCCCTCAAAAGCACTCACCTGATGTTCCCTCCCTGATGTACACAGATGTCTGGGAGGCCTCTGGGGTCTGGGTCCCTGCTGCCTCCGCCTCCTCCTCCTCCTCTTGGTGCAGCTCTCCTGCCTGGTCTTCCTCCCTCAGGATGGTCGGTTCATGATGTGGTCGGGTAACCCGGACTCCACCAAACGCAGTGGAGTCTGGGCTTCCCCACCGCCCAGGATCTGCTCCAACTCCTCATAGTGAGGGCAGGTCTCGGGGGCTGTCCCGGAGCGGGAGCTCTGATCCCGGGCCCTGCATATCCCTGCCGCAGCTCCTTTACCTTGGCCCTGACTTGTGCCGTGGTGTGGGGGTGAAGCCCTTTGGTGGCCAGTCGCTCATAAATGTCTGCATTCCTGTGGCATGTTTGCAAGGCTTCTTCCTGGGACCAGAGCTCCAGGAGGTTTTTTATTTCTGGCCCTGACGAGGTTGGTGCCCGCCTTTTGGTGCCCCGGGGTGGGTCCTCGTCTCTATCCCGAGAAGGGCCAGAGGGCCTTGAGGCTGGGATGTGGCTGTCATAGCTGGCATGGGTGCTCTGGCTAGCTGCTGAACAGCAAGGCCTGTCTGGGTGCCTGTGCTTTAAGAGGCTGTGGCCAGGAACCACAGGGGTGCTGTACCTGTAAAGGCTAGACTGCACACCAGAGCTTCTTCCTGGAGGCCTTTTTTGTTGACAGAACTGGCTCCATGCGTCCACACACACCTTTTGTTAACAGATCTCTGTTGACAAAGGCGTTCTTCCTTGTAAAAGGAGGTTTACCGCTGTCGACAAAACTGCCGCGTTCTGACGACAGAATGCAGCGGTAGTGTAGACGCAGGTATAGTTTTGTCGACAAAAGGCCACTTTAGTTGACAAAACCCTGTAGTGTAGACGCACACAAAGTGAGCACTATTATAGCTATATGTTGAATATACCGAACATGACCCAAATAACCATAGATAGTTTTGCAATAGACTAGCCCAAAGGCATACATGGCATTGGACACACTGATTTCCTCAAGGATATTATCAGGTGTACAAAAGCATCTTAAGGCTTTGATACATAACGTTCCTTCTTTTGGGCCTGTACCTCTCTCCTTTCTTTCCTTCACTTTATATAGTGCATGCATTCTTTCCTTTATATTGTGGTTTTCAACCTTTTTTCCTTTGCAGACCCCTAAATTTTTGAATAGAGATGTGGACACTCTTGGAAATTCAACCTACCTTCAATTATAAATGTTCTATGCTCTTGGTAAGGCATTTGATACAGTGTGAGAAAGAGTGCTAAACTGAGGGCTTCTATGGTAACAACACTTCTGGGTTTTGACCTGTAGGAGGGGGGTATTCACATACTTTTGATAGATAGAAAAATGATATGCCTTAATTTTCACCTTTCATGGACTCCTTACACATAGTTTGCAGACCAAGGTGTCCCGGTACCACAGGTTGAATATGATTACACTACAGTACCTACTAGGGTTAAATGTTAAAATGCATTTATTTAGGTAAATGTGTAACCACTGAAAATATCAGCAGTTAGCAATTTACATGCGTTGAGAGGTGGAAAGCTGGCTCCCAGCATGTACCAGCTCCCGCTTTCCTCCCCGCCCCTCTGCTCCTCCCCCCCCCCCCCCCCA